GCGAGGACCCGTCCATCGCCGCTTGCGGCTTTAATTTAATTATTAATGATTAAAAATAAAACAAAATACAACTGTAGCCGACTGTAATAAATATGAAGACCCTACAGGATTAATGATTGTTAAGGCTCACTCGACCAATCGGGAATTAAATGCACGACTTCCACAGATTCGCTGTGAGCAGACCTCCAGCACAGAGCGTTCAGATTCTTCTTCTTTAACTGTTTGTAACGAAGCAGCTTCCTGCACACGTCCTGACACGATGACGACGAGCGGCTGAATGTGCATGTGCTGCTTCCTGGTGTGACTGAACTCTCACATCTGAAGAGTTGTTGTTTGTCCCAAATCAAACCGCTGAAGTGCCGGCGCTCCTCGGCCCAAACACTCCCTGTGGATGATCTGGTGTGTTGGCCTACGTTTCCCAGCATGCCGCTGTGTGTCCGCCGGTGGAGGAAGAAAGAGGTCGGAGCGGAGTCTTAACCTTGTGTTCCTCCGCCTTGGTTTGTCCTCAGAGCCTTGAGCGGTGTTCTGATACCAGATCAGACGTTCTGCAGGTTGAATCCTATCTGCTGCGTTTTCAGGATCATTCGGATGCTTTCTCTCTTTTCCATCTCTTCCTGCAAAGCAGCTCCACTGCAGCATGTCGGTCAGCTGGAGTTCTGGGTTCTTTACATTTATTTGGTCCTGTCCCTCTGAGGTCCTTCCTCTGCTCCCACGCTGTTCCCTCCACGTTGTATAAATGTTGTGTAGGTTTGGGTTCCAGCCCAAAGCTTTCTGTCGTCACTAATGCACGAGCAGCCTGGTAGCAGAACCAGTACCAGCAGTAGTGGTGTCCTGCAGTAGTCCTACGGTGAACTGCTAGCATCCTGCTGTACTAACGCTGCTGCTGTTGTGTTCTGCAGGGCACCTCCGGACCCGACCCAACCACTGTGTTCGTGGACATGAGGGCGCTGCGCCACGACAGGTGAGCTGACCTGGACTCAGGGCGAGTCTTTGTCTCCTGATGATGAACAACATTCCTGCTCTTAGCCTCATTCGCTAACGTTCCTTTTCATCGCTGCGCTCGGTGCACAGCAGACTGAAATGTCTTCACCACAACGTGAGGTTTGCAAACATTCATGGTCCCCAGAGGATAGCTCGTATCGGTGTCACTCATCCTTTGACTTTTCATGTAGCGCCACCAACAGGTTGAAACCTTCCTCTTTTTACCTCAAGACGCGATGAAACTTCTTAATAAGTTGCTTTAGCAGTGACTTTAAGATAAATGCTAACTTTGACTTTAACACTATTAGCACATTAAGGCTAACATGCTAATGTGATTACTGTCAAAATTAAATATTGATATTCTAACTGTGCACTGTTAGCGTCTTATGCTAACATGCTAAGGTAAGCGAAAATTATTGACATGAGATATGAATTTGCTAACTTTGGCCATGTTAACGTTTCAAAGCTAACATGTTAATATTTGTTAATATTTTTGAAATTAAATATTAATTGTGCTAACTTTGACTTTAATACTATTAGCACATTCAGGCTAACATGCTAATGTTACCACTGTTAAAATTAAATATCAATGTGCTATCTTCGACCATGTTAATGTGTTGAAATGTTAAAACCATTTTAGCTTAAAACACTAAAAGTAAATATTAATGTGCCAGCTTTGGGCTTGTTAACATGGTGAAGCTAACATGCTAATGTTGTTCTAAAGCCATTAATATGAAACATGAATAATGTCAGTTCAAGGACCAGTGGAAAGTTCAGAATCTGAGCGCTGCATATGACAGTTTGGAGGTTCGTTGGAAACTTACTGACTGAACACTTTTCACTGTAATAACAGAAAAAACAAACTTTTTCTATGGATTTACAGCTACATACGTGTTCATCTGTAGAAAACTACATACGTGTGAATTGTATCGGTATAGATTTGTATTTAAATGTCTGACCAGATGCTTTTAGAAGAACTTGAGCCTCATTTGTTAACTTATAGCTTCCAGGTAACATCTGAACTGTTCTTGGTTTACGTTGGAGGTTCTGGAAGCCCAAACCGCGTAACAGCAGCTTCTTGTGTTTTGTTCTCATCAGAACTTTGACTCCACGTTGAGTCCACCGGCTCTCACAGATGTCACATAGGTTGTGCTGCTGTTTGAATGCACTCAAAGTGTTGCATTGGCTGCCGTCAGATCTGAGCCGCGGGCAGCTTCATGAATAAGAAGCTCAGCAGAACGAACTCGGCGGGTTTTTATTCCAGCACGAGGCTCGCTGTCTGCAGGCTGAGACCAAACAGTCTGAGCGTAATGAGACGCCGGAAGTTTCTCTGACAATCTGATGATTTCAGGCTCGACCGTCTCCTCACAGAAGTCTGCTGCACTTTAAAACCCATCAAATCCAGTCGGAGGCACCAGAACAGCAGTTCCAGTGACTTAATGAAGCCAGCAGCGTCTTGCGATCGGCCTCCAGGGCTCGGCGCTGGTGTCACGGTGCTGTCAGCGTCCAGGAAACAAATCAGGATAACAAGCAGAATGCATTCAAATATCTGCTGACAAGCTGCTCCTGGGATTACAGGAGCAACAGGCCCAGGTGCAGAATGTGGTTCTGGTCCATACAGTCTCCAGACGGTAATCCGTGTTCAGCTGTTGTAGCTGCACGGCTACACGGGATCAGCCGGTAAAGCCTGGTTCTGTCCCGGTTACTACTCATGTGAAGGAGCGTTTCTATCAGTGACTGATTTCTTTGTTATTTTTAACTTGAATTTATAACTTTAATAATAAAAAGCAATTCCTGTGGTAAGAATGAAAATTATTAATAGATTCTAATAGATATCGTGCTAATAACAGATATTATTAGATTTCATCATTTCATTTATCGGCTACATTTTCTTATCCTGCGTCTTTGACTTGTTAGATAGTGAAGAAAAGCCGCATCTGTTAAGTCGTAGTTAAAACGCTTTAACCATGTCAGTGTTACGGCTAATGATCTGTTAGCTTAAACTACTAATGTTAACATGCTAACTTTAACCATGTCAGTGTTACGGCTAATGATCTGTTAGCTTAAACTACTAATGCTAACATGCTAACTTTAGCATGAAACAGAAACCCAGAACTGATTTATTTCCTGATTTACGTCTGATTACTGTCAGGAAAGTTCTGAAGTGTTTTTTATTCCTGTGACAGAATAAAGGTGTTCTGATCCGATTAAAAACATCAGCCGATCCAGTTAGTTTTAAACCGACCAACACCGACCTCAGCCTGATCCTTCGCTGTTGTTGCTGTTTCAGTCAGCTCAGCAGGTCAATGTGTTCCTTACGTCAACGTGCTACGAGAACTCTGTCCCGGTGAGGCTGGTCTCTGGTTGGAGGTCATCAGGTCTTGTAGTCTCTGTGGTCCCGCTGCCGGCCGTCATGTCTTAACGCTGCTGTCTGTGTGCAGGGTGCGACTGGTGGAGCGGGGCTCACCGCACAGCCTCCCCCTGATGGAGTCCGGGAAGGTAAATGTGCTTTAACGGATAGAAGCAGTTTAGCGTAGGTTGAGTTTCTCTGATTCATCGGCCTTCGTCTCTGCGTAGATCCTGCCGGGAGTCCGAATCATCATCGCCAACCCGGAGACCAAGGGACCAATGGGAGAGTCGCATCTGGGGGAGGTGAGCTTTACCGGCAGGTCGACCTGATCTATTGATCTGCTCTCATGATCAGTTCATCGGTTTGAGGAACTGCAGCTTCAGGTTCCTCCTCTGTGACGGTAAACTGAAGATCTGTGGACATTTGTTAGACGTCAGGACACCGTAGAGACCAAACCGCTGATAGATTCATCCAGAAAATAATCAACAGATTGAAATATTCATCCATCACTTTCAACTCCAAGTCTGGAATTGTTGAAGTCTCGTTCTAAACTAAACGTTGTTTCTGGTCATTTTCACAAAGTTTTATCACATTAAGGCCAAAGCTTAAACTATTAAAATTAGGATTTTGTTTTAGACGTCAGAGTGTCTGTTGTCGTTATAACGTCTGATTGAGACGGTTTGTTGAGATGTTGGAAACTAAAATGGAGAATCAGTTTTCTGCTGGTTACCTGGACTCAGTACCGGTACCAATAGAACAGAAGTTGAAGGTTTTCACGCCTTAAATTAACATTTCAACGCGCTGAAGTGTCATTTTCAGAAACTTCTAATAAATCTGGGTGAAATAAATTTGATATAAATCCCTGATTATAGCAAAACATGTGAATAAATAAACGGGACCAGAACATCCATTAAATCCGGAACTGTTCCTTGAACCAAACAATGATGGTTTGTTCCCTTAATGTTCCCTTAACGTTCACTTAATGACTGAACGCCCTTTAAAATGCACATTTCTGAGACAGCGGTCGTTGTTTTACCTGTGAGGTGAGCCTTCAGGTGAACCTCTGGTACCGGCCACGACGCTGCTCGACCCGTCTGACTTTGCAGGAGCCAGTCTGTTCTGACCCCTCGGATACAACAAACACTTCAGATCTGACATCCTGTGACATGTGGAGAAGCTGAAGCAGGTTCTGGTTCTGGTTTCAGATCTGGGTCCACAGCGGCCACAACGCCAGCGGCTACTTCACCGTCTACGGCGACGAAGCGCTGCAGTCCGACCACTTCAACTCCCGCCTGAGCTTCGGGGACACGCAGACCGTCTGGGCCAGAACCGGATACCTGGGCTTCCTCCGCAGAACCGAGCTCACCGACGCCAGCGGAGGTCAGAACCGAGTCCAACCCTCTGAACGTGGGACTGTCCGGTGTTCCTATCCTTTCTGTCGTTGGGCCTCGTTCTTGTTGTTTGTGGTGTTTTTTTTTCTCTCTTTGGTCCAGTTTCGGTTCCGTTCTGTTACTCTGCGTCTCGTGTTTCGTCTGTGTCTCGCTGATGTTTATTCTTGTTCTTGTCATTCTGTGTCTCGTTTTTCTGGTTCTGCGGTTGTCTTGGTTACGTGCTGGATTTGGTTCGTTTCTGGTCCGGAGACAGAAGCGGGTCCGGCTGATACATGGAACCAGGCGGCCTGGTTCAGAGGGTTGACTGTTGGTGGTCAGATATCATCCTGAAGTCACCTGAAGCTGCCTTTGAGTCACTGTTTGACCTTAAACCAGGACTTTCAGTCGACTCGCTGAAGTTTCACTTCTTTGTTTTCTGCTGATTTGCTCGTAGCTCATTTGTTGGTGCACTTTGAACATGTTTGCTTCCAACCAGCCACGTGTCCTGATGCTGTGTCTGTGTGCAGAGCGCCATGACGCCCTCTACGTGGTCGGCGCTCTGGAGGAGGCGATGGAGCTCCGAGGGATGAGATACCATCCCATCGACATCGAGACCTCCGTCATCAGGACGCACAAGAGCATCACCGAGTGGTGAGACACCAAACACGACTACTTCTGGTTTAACTTCCTTCTGATCCTGGTGAACAGCTGCTCGGTGCAGATGTCGAACCACCAGGAAGCATTTAAAGCCCCTTCGAGGCTGATCTGAGACGGACCAACAGGTTGGACCAACACAGCAGTCAAAGTCAGAACCGTTAAACCTTGTGTTCAGTGGATCAGCAGGAAGTTAAGCAGATGGAGAAGGAACGCAAACCCTACCTGCAGGTCTTCCGTCCGAACATCCACGAGTCACCAGGTCTGTGGAGGTCCAGGTCAGGGACGTGAGCTGATTAGTGCTGCTGAAAGTAGCTAATGCCATGGTGGCAGCAGAGAGCATTGTGGGAGTTTAGTGGCAACGGGACCATGACAGAGACTCTGAGGAGGTTCAGGACCTCCAAGCAGAACTCAGGTTTTTAATGTACGTCCTTATGATCTCCCATCAGCAGATCTAACAGGTTTATCAGAGAGGTGATACCAACATGCTAAATACACTACGACCTGCCAATCACCCTGAAACGCCTGCTGCTTCATCGTCTGTTTTCCTCCAAACGGGACCATAATTAACCAATCAGCACCATGATGTGGTAAAAAACACCTGAAGCTACTGATGGAGACCATGAGCTCATCAGGAACATGTTCACTGAGTTCGTAAATCGAGGGAGAAGTCGGCTCATTTCCTCACAGACTTATGTACAATCGGACTGGTTTCGCAGCAGTGGAGTCGCCCCCTGCTGGCAGTCAGACAGAATGCAGGTTTCAGGCTTCGTCCGTCTGATACAGACGTCTGTGGCGGTCAGTCACCTCCAGCCAGGCCTTCCTGTTGCTGACTGGCTGATGTAGCTCAGCCAATCCTGGCCCAGAGTCATGTGTCTCGGTTACAAATAACGTCAGCGTATGAACAGTTACCTGCTGTTCAATAGCAGCAGACTGACCCGTGTTTGTGGTTCTGTTGCAGCGCCGTGTTCACGTGGACCAACCTGCTGGTGGTGGTGGTGGAGCTGGACGGCTCGGAGCAGGAGGCACTGGACCTGGTGCCGCTGGTCACCAACGTGGTTCTGGAGGAGCACTACCTGATCGTGGGCGTCGTGGTGGTCGTCGACATCGGCGTCATCCCCATCAACTCCCGCGGTGAGAAGCAGCGGATGCACCTGCGCGACGGCTTCCTGGCTGACCAGCTGGACCCCATCTACGTGGCCTACAACATGTAGCGCCCCCTGGTGGAGCCGGACCGGCTGCTGCTGAGGCTCAGTGTCTGGGAGGAGTCGACTGGTGCTGCCCTGAGCTTCGTCTGTCAGGCAGATCTCCTCCCAGGCTGGTGTTTGGATTCGTACTCAGAGGAGAGCAGCAACCTGAACGTCCTGCAGGAGGCAGCAGAGGACAATCGCTAGCAGCAAAGATTCTGGCTTTCAAATCTTGGTGTGTCTCACGTTTTATTTTCCTGTTGAGCATTCGCCGAAGTCGCTTGTCTGTTCTGTTTTTTTAACACGTCCTCGATAAAGTTTAGGCTATTTTTTGAAAACGATCTTTACACAAAACCAAACTGTGGCAGAAACGATATTTTGTGTTTTTACGATATCGACCGTGTCAGAGACGTGTTTTGATACGAGGGAACGTTTCCCTCCGGTTAGCGAGCGCTACGTCCGTCTCACGCTCGCCGGCGGCTTTGATTTGAGCGTCGTTTTCTGGCAGCGTGCTGCTTTCACACAGGAACAGCTGCAACCTTCAAGCCAAGCGAGCAGCTTCAGCTGAAGCCAAAACACGTCAGTTCATATCATGTAAGTATGTACAAAAAGAAACCGACTTAATTTATTTTGTTCCTCTTCTAGAAGTTTATGACGAGACGTTCAAGAATGTTTTGCTCTTGAATATTTGCTAATATAAGAATAAAAGCATGGAGCTGTGGAGCAGATGATGACAGGTTATACGACTGAACAGATGCTGTCGGTCGACTCTGAGGAGTTTTATTCCAGCTTTGATCTGAAGAGTTCTGATCCAGAAGAGCTGGATCAGACGTCTAGTTTGTGCTCTTCATACTTTTTACAATCAGTAATTTATGTTTAAAGAAAAACAAACTGTGTAATTTGATAAGTTTGAAACCAACAGAAGCTGAAAATGAGTTTTTTTGTTCAGACATTAAACATGAGGAACGTGCTGCTTATCAACACGCTCAAAGGGTTTCCCTCAATGGTTCTGACTTGTTCTAGTTTTAGTTCCAGACGTGTTGGATTCAGAACCTCTGACGTTTAAACGGGTCAGACTGAAGCTTAAACGTCTTCAGCTGGCGGTGATCACAGATATCGTTTTGTTACTGAACCAACGGGTTGACTAGGATACAAACTGAGCTTTTATTGTGTAATTCTCCAGCTGAGAGTGAAACTGTTTCCTCAAAGAAACTTTACGGAGTGGATCCGAACCCGGAGATTAAATGCTTATCAGCACAAATGTGAAGTCCGATCAACACGAGGCCGTTTTCTAGCTGTGAGGCAGAACCAGCAGCTTCCAGCTTCATCTGGACTCTGGTTCAGAGGTTTGCTGCCCTCGTGTGGCGAGCTGAGGAATCACTGCCAGTCCGATTTCAGCGTTTGGATCAGAACTCTTCACGTTTATTTGGGAACAAACAGGTTTTCTGATCCTTGCATGTAATAAACAGAGTTTGTGGAGTGAAACTCCTCGATGCCGTCGACCGTCAGCCGGCTGGGAGCGGGTCGGGTCGGGTCGGGTTGTAAATACCAGAGCGAGTCCTTCATATTTTTACACGACGCTTCAATCAGGGCTCAACAGAAGATGTCAGAACAATCAGGAGGAGGCTCTTCGTCTTCGAATATTTCGACGTTTATTTTGAAAAGACAAAAAGCACTTTGTTCACTGTTTGTTCTCTTTTATCAGCAGAATGTTTGTTTTTTAAAAGGTTTTAAAAACGTCGTATTTGAGTTGATGTTTCAGTTCAATAAATAAACGGTTTTGACAATAAAAGGTGTTTGTGAGGTTTGTTGTTTCACAGTTTGCCTTCAATCTGTTCATTAATGAGAATCGTTTAATTAAGATGAAGTTAACTGGTCCATCTACGTCCAACCCTCACCTCTGGCCACCAGCTTTGGGTCGTGACCGAAAGAACGAGGTCACGGATACAAGCGGCCGAAATTAGTTTCCTCCACAGGGTGTCTGGGCTCAGCCTTAGAGATCGGGTGAGGAGCTCAGACATCCAGAGGGAGCTCAGAGTAGAGCTGCTGCTCCTTCACGTCTAAAGGAGCCAGTTGAGGTGGTTTGGACATCTCCTCCGGGGAGGCTTCCTCTGGAGGTTTTCCGAACTCGTCCACCTGGGAGGAGACCCCGGGGCAGACCCAGAACCCGCTGGAAGGATTATATCTCTGGGCTGGCCTGGGAACGCCTCGGATCCCCCAGGAAGAGCTGGAAAGCGTCGCCGGGGGGAGGGAGGTCTGGAAGACCTGCTCCGCCTGCTGCCCCCGCAACCCGACCCTGGATAAGCGGAAGACAATGGATGGATGGATGGATGGAAGTTTCAAACAAACCTGACGAGCGTCTGGTCGGTCTGAAGCAGCTGCTGTTGAGGTTCAAGTCAGAAGAACGAAGGCGACGGTCTGATCGCCAGGTCGAGATGCTTTAAGGTGGAAACGTACCAGAAATATAAAAATCCAGCATGAGGCTGAAAATAAATCAGGACAGAAAGACGACATGAATAATGATGGAGCTGAGGTCAGTAGTCTGGAGCTGAAGGGTTCGGGCGGTGGTTCTACCAACATATATATATATATATATAACAGCAAATGAGAGGATTTAAAGAAGTCCAATTATAACATAAATAAGTGTATTAAAAGATAATCAGATGTTTCTGATGAAAACTGTGGAAATATAATAAATCTGTTTCTGACACGTTCTGCACATCGTTCAACATGAAAACGTCTTTTATCTGCCTGAAGCTGTTTTATATTTTCTGCTTCTAAATGTGACAAAAACAAGATTTTAACTAAAAATTAACTGGTCAAACTGAGTTAAACAAGTTAACCTTTAAACCAAGAGAGAAATCAGATTAACAAACAAACACAAGTTATTTCAATTCCACTCATTTACCTGAATGATGTAAAAACCAAGGTTCAGATCCAACAACGTTCTAAAGAACAGGAAGGAACCCGGTTAAATACTCAGGTTGAATCCATTTACTGTGACGTGTTCAGGAGTCTGTCTGGTTCCACGTTTAGTCTTAGTTTAGTTTGGTTTAACATGATCTCTGCTTAATCTGGGTTTATGTCTGTGATCCTGGATTAACTGAACTGAGGTTAGTTAAAACCTGAGTTTGTTCATTTTAAAGCTAGTTTTGCGAAACTCGGATTACAACCAATCTGTGATTAACTTCTCCAGAGCTGAACATTTTACTAGTAATTACTCAACAAGTTGATGTAAAGGAACATTAATCCACGCGACCCCCGGACCCGGGGAACCATCCAGAAGAACCCAGATCAGAGCACATGGGTCGAGTCTGAAGTCATCCACTCCCTCCCCCCATAAATGGATCCCTGTGTGGGGAGCACCTCGGCAAACTGACACTTCAGACTGTTAATGACGTCGCTCGCTGGCCGTGATTTGTGCCACAACAGCGTCGTACAAACACATCAAATTCACAGTTTATTGCGTAGCTAAGAAACCAAACTAAATCCGGTTTATTGTCATTTTGCTGTACATACCAGATGGGAGCGTTTCTTCAGGATCCACTAACTTAAAGCAGTTTAAATGAAGTGGTGCAGTCTGTCCACATCACAACCCAGCGCCGCAAGTTCTTGTTCATCTAGTTTCCGTTTCCTTTCGTGCAGTGCATGGCGGTCCATATCGCTGGTTAGTGACCATCGGCTGCACGCTACAGTTCATGGTGCATTGTGGGATATTTGGAGTGACTATACAGGTTGTAGCATTCAGACACCCCTACAGAATGGCGATCAGCCCATATGGAGCACTCTGGAGGGATAGGGAGGGATTTGGGACACAGCCAGCGTCTCCTTTATTATTAACAGAAGTAAAACATGTTTAACCTTCAGTCCAGGACCGTTTAGGTAGAACATCTGTGAAACAGCAGCGACGTCAGATGTAGAGACGAAGGCGCTGATGTTAGACAATCATCAGCTGAATGTGTTCATCGGACCGACACCGATGTATCGGGCCGAACACTGATATGGACCGATACCGATGTGGTCGCTGATACATCGTGCTTCCCTAAACAACTCTAATTAATGCTTTAATTGTCATTTTTATTTATTTTATTTTTTTAAAGAAAAAGGCTGAAATAAAAGCCGTGCTTTCTAACCTGTGACTAGTTATCAGTGTCTCCAGTTTGATTTCATAATCAACACGTTTCTGGTTTTGGTCCGATTTTCTGTCCAGAACAGGAAGATGAAGGTTGAAACACGTCGCGTTTCCTCCATTTAGACATTCAGCAGCCCGTCTGACCTGCAGCTTCTCAGCTGGATGACATCAGCAGAAGGTCCAGAACCAGTCTCCGGCTGCAGCAGGTTTGACAGGAAGTACTTCCTCAGCACAAAGTAGTTCCGGTCGACCCACATCATCCAGAGGAGCCGAGGCTGCTTCACACATTTATAAACTATTATTAATGTGCTGTAACTCAGTTCTACATGATCTGATGATTTGGTTCAGTTCTGGTGAAATAAGCTGAACAAACACATCGAACAGATAAAACCATCTGCAGAGCTCGTGTTTCATCAAAGAGACGAGGAAACCCAGGAACTGGTCGATACATTTATTTCCTCCATGTTAGCACATAGAATATATTTATATACATATTGCTAGCTAAAGTGTCAAAAAACAAACAAAAAGGTCGGGAGCATAGAAAATGTTAAGCCACGATTAAGAGTGTACATATGGACAGAACAGAAGAACATGTTCTACAGGAGGCGGAACCAAAGAAGCTGTACACGGATCTCATTCCTGTCAGAAGCACTCTGGGTGCTCGTTAGTCTCTCCGGCTGAAAACGTCCTCGACGGCGTGAAACGAGCTCGACAGAAGATGAAAACGACGTCACTGTCATATTGCTGAGGAGCCACGAGTACGTGATCAGAAGGAAGCAGAAACAAACGCAGCCGCGACACAAACAGCTTTACTCATGCAGCGCAGACCAGAACCGAGCCGGAGTGACGGCAAAACGCTTCCCACAGCGGCCGGAGAACCAAAGAAAACCCAACGGTGAGGAGCTGCAGGTCGACGTGAAGCTAGAAACGAGTGGACAGAAGGACACGAAGCGCTGATATGAGAACCATCTGTACAAAACTAGAACTAACAGTCATCCAGATCAGAACAAAACAGAAGACTGAGTATCTGTGGATCCATTTACAATGTACAGAACCATGAAGGAGTCTATTTACACGTAGTGCAACGGAGGAGAGAAGTTGGACTTCAGAGAACTTTGATTGGACGAGAACGTGAAACCAGGAAGAACACGAAGAACGAACCGGGTGAGGAGGAACGTCAGCCACTTCCAGCTTACAGAAAGTAACATAAATTCTCCACTAGTGGGCAGCGCTCCATCGACCGGCTGACGATAACCAAGCTCTGGGTTCTTCTGGTCACCCACACCTGCCTCCGACTGAAGGTGTCCAAGTGCGACAAACGACGACTGCTGCTCAAACCTTTAGTTCATCGTTAGAATCTGAGAGCCGGTCGCTGCAGCTCTTTGATCTCAGCACGCCTTCAGAAGCTCTGGACCAGGGATCTCCGGCTCCAGTCCTCCTGAGCTACCATCCTGCAGGTTCTAGACGTTTTCAACACACCTGACTCACATCAATGGATCTCCAGCAGCTTGGTGTCAAGTTCTAGACACGTCTGTTAGTGATCCATTCATCTGAGTCAGGTGTGTTGGAAACATCTAGAACCTGCAGGACAGTAGCTCAGGAGGACCGGAGCTGGAGATCCCTGGACTGAAGTCTCCAGATGTCCTGATCTACGATACACCTCAGGAAGGAACATGCTGAGGAGTCTGCAGTGAAGGACATCTGGAGCTTTCAGAGCTTCTGTCTGAGTCTGGGCTCCTTGGATGCGACTGGGACCGACGACTGGATGTCTGCCAGGTGCTTCCTGAGGAGTCCTCAGGTGTGGGCTCCATGAAGCTCAGAAGATGTTTAAGTCAGCTCCAGTTGGCATAGAAACGTTTTCTAATCGACAGAGAGCGACACGAACACACGAACCTGCTGCTGGCTACAAACACCTGAACAGACTTTGTGTTTGTGGGACGACTTCGTGCAGAACGTTTGTTGACAAAAAGTCAAACAGAGAAAACGGCAGCTTTAAGTTGCTGTTGACGAAACTCAGGCTTAAAGCTTCCAGCTGTAGGGAAACGGTTCTGAGGCAGCTTTAAAAATCCGCCATGAAGGAAAAATGATTTCACAATAATAAATGTACGAACAAGCAGCAGTCTGAGTCGTTCTGCAGCTTGTTCGTGTTGTTCGGACAAAACAGGCACTTTAGACACGAAGAGACGTCGGAACGCGAGGAGACGTCCGAACGCGAAGAGACGTCCGAAAGCGAAGAGACGTCCAAAAGCGAGGAGACGTCGGAACGCGAGGAGACGTCCGAACGCGAAGAGACGTCCGAACGCGAAGAGACGTCGGAACGCGAGGAGACGTCCGAACGCGAAGAGACGTCGGAACGCGAGGAGACGTCCGAAAGCGAGGAGATGTCCGAACACAGGCTGTTTTAGGGTTAACAACATTTAACGAAGGAAAAGACGGATTTATCGCCTGCTAGAAACACGCTAAAGGAACCAACGGAGGTGAAGTCGCTCAGAAATGACCCTGAAAACAGAAGAATCGAGTCTTTTTTTGAGTCACAACTTGACCGAGTGACACCAGAACTTTATTAATGAAGCTTTGAGTTTCATTTACGGCAAGAAGAAGCAAAACGCTGGAAGTGGAGCTCAGCTTCAGTCGAGCTGTTTCTGCCCACGAGGTGAGGATTGACGGCGCTTCGTTTCCACGTCAACAGAAGCCTGAAGGCAACCCGCCGGCCGGTCAGCTGATCGCTGACAAGACGGTCGACTAACTTCTCTCAGAAATTTAAAAACAGCAATCTGATTGCCGTTAACAAACCCAAGCACCGGTATCTACCGACACATCGACATCCGGCGCCAGCAGAGACCCGGACCCGTCCCATCGCTCACATTTGCATAAAGTTTTCTACGTGCCAGTCTGACAGCAGCCGGGTTCTGGTTCCTCTGTCTCCTGGTTTCAGCTGAATGAATGAAGGACAAACTGTGAATCTATCAACATGCACGAAGCCTCACCGGGCTGAGAACAGAGACAGGCACCGACCACCGACGACAGCGAAAGAGTCTCACAGAGTTCAGATCCAGACAGAACCGACGAGGAGGTCCAACTAGAACGACTGACGACGCTCCAGGATACACATGGAAGGACGAGGCCGACTCGCCGGGTCAACAAAAACTTTTTGGCAATATTACAAGCGTTTGGGCTGCTGAGGAAAATCAGATGTGCAAAAAGAGAAAAATGATTCAAATCATGTGACTCTCTAAGATCCAGCTCAGGAATGATTCTGTACACGTCCCCGATTAGAGCGGATTAAAAACGTCCTGCTTCCACACGTGACTCATAAAAACAGTCCAACAACCCAACATGTGCACGATTACAGGAATACTTCTGCTGATTTCTCTGGTCGGCGCCTCTCGGGCCGACCCGTGACCCTGTTCCCAATAAGTGACTTTAGCTTTTAGGTAGAAATGAGGACAAAGTGCGATTCGCCGCGAGAGATTCGTGAAAAACAATGAATTAAAGTCCTCGTCGTCCACGGTGGAAGGTAGGCAGGTTTTCTGTTTGTTTTTTAAAAACGGTTTCTGTATGAAAGCAGAGCGGCGGGACGTCACGCTGGACTGCAGGGTGTGTGTTCGTCGCATTTACAGTAAGAAAAAAGACTTTGTTTTAAAAATTCAGGTAATAAAATGTATTCAGTTAATGCTCGTCTGTTCCTACACACTTAAATAACACATTCTGACACAAAATTAGCACTTCAGTAAAGAAAAGTCGTTTAAAAAAAACACAAAACTCAGAACGCTGCGTCTCCGGAGCATCTGTTCAGAGAGACGAGAGAACAGGAAGAGAAACCAGCACGACGTTAAATTAAAGGACAGACGAACACGTCGCTCTTCACGCAGAGGAACATCCGGTCCGCAGAGCTTCAGGAAGGCAGGTGAGAAGCAGGAGGGCGTTTGTGTTTGACACTGACTGACTGACGGGAGGCGGAGACGGCGGGAGCCAATGGCGTGCTGTGTGAGGTCAGAGGGGGCGGGGCTCGTTCATCTCTTCCTGCGGCAGGTTCGTTTGTGGTCGGCGTGCCAGTGCTCCTGCTGACACTTGATGGAGCAGTACGAGGTGTTCCAGCAGCAGTGGTACATAGCCTCCTCCTCACAGTTGTAGCACTGCAGAGACAACACACAGCAGCAGTCACTACACAACCACACACCTACACACCTACACAACCACACACCTACACANCTACACAACCACACACCTACACACCTACACAACCACACACCTACACACCTACACAAAGACACAACTACACAAAGACACAACACACAGCAGCAGTCACTACACAACCACACACCTACACAACCACACACCTACACAACCACACACCTACACAACCACACACCTACACAACCACACACCTACACACCTACACAACCACACACCTACACAACTACACACCTACACAACTACACAAAGACACAACCACAGGAAGCTGCTGCACTGAAAGGTCCGTCCAAGAGCAGGACTAAAGGCCTTCTGGAGGAAAGTTCTGGTCAGATGGAACCGAAGCTGAGCAGAACCATGTCTGGAGGAGAGAAGGTGAGGCCTTTAAGCCCAAGAACACCAAACCTACCATCAAGCATGGAGGTGGCAGCATCATGCTCTGGTTCTGTTCTGCTGCCAGTGGACCTGGAGCTTTACACAAAGTCAGTGGACCAATGAAGAAGGAGGATCACCTCCACGTTCTTCAGGAAAACCTCAAACCATCAGCAGAAGGTTGGTCTTCAGGTAGTTTGGACAGCTCTCGAGTCATTTTGGATAAAGTCTGAGTAAGTCTGGACAAGTTCTCTGTCTTTTTGGACCAGGTTGCAGTGAATCTGGACACGTTTGTCATTTAGCTGATGTTGGACATATTTTAAAGTAATCTTGGACAAGGTTTAAGTCTGGACAGCTTTGAGTCATATTGGACAAACTTTAGGCTGCTCTGGACCATGTTGGAGTCATTTTTGGGCAATTCTGGAATAATTTATAACAAGCTTTAGTCATTTTAGAAAAGTTTGAAGTCATTCAGAACATTGTTGTTTGTGAAGAGTTTCCAATAACTCTTAACTTTCCACAACAGAATGACTGAAACACAACCTGCCACCAAGCATGGAGGTGGCAGCATCATGCTCTGAACTGGAGCTTCACACAAAGTAGATGGAACCATGAAGAAGGAGGATCACCTCCACGTTCTGCAGGAGAACCTGAAACCATCAGCAGAAGGTTGGTCTGGACACAGCTGGATGTTCCAACCAGACAATGAGCCCAAACACAGATCAGAGTGGTGAAGAAATGGTTCCATCAGCTGGATGAAGGACGGTTGATTCACGTCTGAACTCATCCCAGTTTTCACACATTTTGACTCATATCTCATTTTGAGCAGAAACTTTGTGTTTCTTTAAACCTTTGGGGCCTTTTATTGATGATTAAATAAACCTTTTGGTGAATTGTTCTCGTCGTGTTTGGGAACCGTTGCTGTCTGGATGTTTGTAGACGTGGAGGAAAGACGTTTTACATCCACCTCTCGTTGTCTGACTTTGTTTTAGGAAAACTTTTGGAATGTTTCTTATATATTTCTAGATTTTTCAGATTTTTTTAAAATTCAGATTCATTTTTAAGACTTTTTAAAAAATATATATTATTCACACCACTGTTCTATGTTCATGTTGTATTAATGTATTTCAGACGTTGTACTAACGTTCTGTGAGCCGGCTGCTGTTGGGACCGTCTGTCCTGAGGCTGTGAGCTCTGTTTCAGAATCCTGGTCCATTATTCATGTTTCTCTGAATGCAGCCGATTGAGAAAAACAAAGTACATGGAGCTGAAAACTCCACTGGACAGTAACTAAGTACATGTACTCGAGTACTGTGCTGCAGTGTTTCTGCTGTGCAGCTCTATGACTCTGCTGCTTCCTCCTTCGTCTACGTGGACGTGTCCTCGTGACATGAATACAACTATCAGCTGGACAGAACACACAGAGCCTGGTCTGGACTCACCCACTGCTTCTTCTTGGTCTGGGAGATGAGCTGCTTGTGTTGGGCCACCATCTTCTTCACCTCCTCCACCAGCTCCTCTTTACACTTCTCCTTCACCTGCTTGCACTTGCGCTCCATCTCGGCCTGAGCTCCGGCCACCGCCTTGCTGACGGCCTGCCGCTTCTCCTCCTCCATCTCCGCTCGCAGCTGCAAGACAGACGGAGGTCAGACTGCAGCAGGTGGAGGCTCCAGCGGCCCACCTTCATTCACCAGGAGGTCGGCCCAGAATACATCAACCACAACCAGGAGAACCTCCACTGGCTTCATCTGCTGACCAGAGTTCTACCTTCAGACTGAATGCTCCAGAGCTCCAGGTCCTTGAAGTCCATAGAGGAGAGTCCAGACCAACTGTGAGCATCAGGACATAGTTTCTCCTCTTACAGACGGTTCTAGTAGGTTCTGGAGGTAAAACAGTCCTCCCATCATCCAGAACTGGTTCTGACCCACCACCATCACACATGCTGATACGAGCCTGGAACGTTTACCCAGAATGCACTTTGTAAAGTTTCCTCTGGTGAATGATCAGAACCAGAACCACATCCAGGGTACCACTGATTGTTTCTATGACTCTGTGTCATGGACATTAAACTGGTTCCACTATGATCCATCCCATAATACTGATGCTACCAGCTGCTGACAGAGGACATGAACAGAACCAGGTCCAGTGTTCAGACTGAGACACCTGGATGGATGTAGAACTGATCTGGTGTCAGGTTCTAGCAGAACCCAGATGTGTTCTTCCTCCTAAATGTCATGTGTCTATCTGCTGTACTGATGAAGTTCTGAGGCTCAGAAATGATGGAAAAAGTCCATTAAAGTGATCAATCTGGACCCTCCTCTGTGGACTTCAAGGACCTGGACCTCTGGAACATTCACAGTCTGAAGGTAGAACTCTGGTCAGTAGAAAGAGGTGCTGCAGGATCAGAACCAGATGTTCTGAGGAGGTTCTTCCTGGATCCAGACTGACCTTCTCCAGAGCTTCCCGGACCACCCTCTCCGTCTCCCTCTTGTTGTCGGCCTTCATCATCTCCTTGACGTCGTTGAACACCTTGGTGTACTTCTCGTGACACATGTTCTGGCAGGCGCCGTCGCTGCTGGTCTGGGTGCCGCGGTGCAGCGTCCGTGGCGACCCTCCACTCGCCTTCTTGGTCTGCGTCGACACCGACAGCTTCTCTGGCTGCTGCGGCGCCGACGACACCGAGATCTCCTGGCTGGAGCTGACCGCCTCCATCTCGGGCTCCGGGTCCTGAGGAGGAGACAGACGGGTTACCACCACACCCGTTGCATGTAATAAGAGCAGGTGTAGCCGCAGAAGAAACAAGAAAACAACAGCTGATGGTGCAGGTACAAAAAAACCAGAGGATCTGACAGCTTAAACACAGGAAGACGATAAAGTAAACAGCATGAGAGAAACGAGACAGGAAAATACAAAAAGGTTTAAGAAAGGTACACAGTGTTTTGCTTCTCTGTGTTTTTGTCATCATCTCAGCTATAAAGGCAGAGGGCAGGTCGGGTTCAGGGCGGTGTGGGTCAACCGGACTCCTGTCAACTGGACTGTACACACGCTCTTCTTGAAATCAAACATTTGACACATAAACTAAATCTGTTGGTCGGTCTCAGTCGGAGGACTCTTGCAGGTTAGACAGAAGGACCGGGAGTGGAGCTCATGGAGACGGTTCTACAGCTGAGTCCTCTCTCCTGCCTCCACGGAGCTGCAGGACTTCATGCTGCAGACGTTCATGCAGACGTCCTCTTAATAAATGGCCTTTATCGTACCACCATGTCTTACGTCTTTTCTGTCCTCGGGTCACTTGCTGTTGGGTTTTAACATCTGTCTTGGACCACTGAGCCTCTTTCTGACTGTGTCGCTGGAGGAGCTTCCAAACAGCTGCTGTTGTGACGAGCAGCTGATCTAGAACCCGGACAAACAGCAGAACTTACGCTGACTTCTTCTTTGGGCTCCAGCACCTGAGTGCGGCGGCTCTTCTTGGCTTTGGGCTCCAGGCTGCCTTTGAGCTGCAGGAAGAACCAGCAGAGAGAGGTGAAGGTGGAGCGTCGCAGCACAGAAACATACTGACGGGAAACCAACAGAAGCACAGCCAGAAGAGCTGCTTCTCGCCTGAGCTCTACGGAAACAGAAAGCTGCAGAAAACCTGAAAAGCAAACAAGACGTTTTATAGCTATTTTATTAATTTGTGATTATTTTCACCAACTAAAGCTCGATCAGCACGTCGCTGTGTTTCTACTGGGGCTGAGCCCGAATAGCCGACTATTCCTTGGCTGTGCTGGAATCAGGATATCAAACTGGATCTCCAAGTATCCTAAACACACAAACTGGTCTGTGTAGCCAAATGCGGGCTGTGCGTTGGAGCTCGTAGGAGCCGAGAGCGTCCCAACGCACCCAACGTCATTCAAACCAACGTCTTAGATAAACTCTGAGCTGGTATCAGATCAAGTCTGGTGGGCGTCTCAGCATTGATTAACTACTGATCATCTCCAGTGAGGATTAGAAAGATGACTTTGAACCAACCAGCACCAGCAACATGCTGCTGTTTCTGGACTGAATGAATGGAAACCGGACCTAAAGCCTCCAGACGCCTTCCAGGCAGAACTTACGTGGCGGACCTGCTCGTTGCTGGTGGACGAGATGCTGGACTCGGCTTCGTCGGTCCGTTCCAGCCGCTCCGTCCTGCCGCTGCCCTCGTCCTGCTGCCGCTGGCTCTGGGTCTGGGTCTGGTTCTGGGTCTGGTTTTGGCTCTGGTTCTGGCTCTGGCTCTGCTGGAGCATCGGGCTGCCGTCGTCCATCTTGGTCTTCCAGAAGCGGCCCTCCCTCAGGAAGCGCTGGTACACCTCCAGCTCCTCGCAGGCCTTCTTCCAGCCGTTGCTGCGCTTCACCTGCAGCTGCTGGACGCTCACCTTGATGTCCTGGATGTTGTCTGAGGGGATCCAGGCTCTGCAACGCAGCAGACACACAGTCACCATCAGACACAGCCCGGCCCAGTCCCCCCGGCAGCGCCCACACTGACCTCTGGTGCTGGTGTCCGAAGAAGCGGACGTCCACCTGGTTGTCCTCCCTCTGCAGCACTTTGGCCGGCCAGTAGCCGAAGCCCTTCATCTTGGCCCAGACCAGGTCGTGGCTGGGACTCTGCGGAGCAACACAGAAGGTTCAGCAGGACGCAGCAGAACCCCAGTCGAGGCTTCACGGCTGCACCAAACAGCTCAGAGTTCTGTGTTCTGAACAGAACCTGGTGCACATGGCAGATAATTTTTTGGGGCATTTTTTATAGATGAGACTTGAAAAATAAAGCAGCTGTGAAGAAACATCAGATGATTAATTCAGGCTGACCACCAGACGGTTCTGTCTGTTTCTACAGGTTCTGGTTGATAAACGGGTCAACTTGTGGATATCTCTAAAGACAAGGCGCCATGTGGGCTCAGAGGGTTCATCTGAGGGAGGTGTGCACCAAACTGCTGCTTCCAGGAACGACCGTTCTACAGATGCAGTGACTCAGACAGAAACAGATCCAGTTTGTACTCACGCAGGGGTAACAGAACCAGTTGTCGGGTCGGGCGTTGGACAGGTAGAAACAGTTCTTACACAACAGCAGCTCATTCAGCTGGAAGACAGAAGTAGCAGCAGGACACAGGATGAGGAGGAGATCCAGTCGTCTATCAGACCTGAACCAGAAGATAGACCAGGCCTACCTCGTGACACGTGTCGCTGAAGAGCAGTCGGGCGATCTCGGCCTGGTCGCTGTGAACTGGAACCCACAGAACACATGTTCAGAACCAAAACCCCCTCATCGTCCTGCTCGCGGCTCCACCGCTCTAATCCGACATGATTCTACGGTACTGCCGGCTCGGTGTGATGGAGGTGAAGACGTCAGGGGAAGCTCAGTGTGTCTGAGGTCAGTAAAGCACCACAGCAGGACAGTCCTGCAGCGTTTGGGCTCTGAGGCCCGTTTTCTGGAGCCAAAGAGGCTCAAAATGCAGCAACAGAACCTACTTTGGCTTCTCTGAGCACCAAGACTTATTTCTGTTTTGTTCTGATTAAATGCTTGTAGAGTTCTGGATCTTTATTTGTGCAGAACTTCTGAATGTCCTGAATGTTAAAACAAACTCATCGACAGAAAACAGATAAAACAATGAAGTCGGGTCAGAACAATGTTCTCATCCAACACGTTTAGGAAACAACAACAAGAACCTTCAACTACCAAGGATCAGACGGACATTTAAAGCAACCGGACAGGATTAAACACTTCAGCTGAGACCATGAGGTGTGATTCAACCTGAAGCCTTTACGTCGTCGGGACAGTAGATTTAGTTATATGTCTATCTGCTGAGATTATATACACTCCTGTGTATGATATAGACTCCTGTGTACTAGAACTTGTGTGTGGTTCTGGGGCTGTGACGTGGAGCGGCCCAGCTGGACTCACCTCCGTACAGGATGGCAGTGTTGTGGACGATCAGCTGAGCGTCTGCTTTGAACTCCTCGAAGCTTTTATACTTTCCTTCAGCCAGATTCTGACAGAAACGAGGACAGAGAGCCGGTGAGCGACGGGTTAGCATCGGGTCAGAAACAGGCAGATGGCGGTTCTGTTGTAGCCGTCTGTTAATCTGCTGATTATTGATCAGTTTGATCTGAAGAATGTGGACCAAACGTCTTGTCTAGTCCAGAGACGTTCAGTTCACTGTCACAGAGGAAAGAAAGCTGACATCACTGAATTCAGAGATTAAAAAAGCAGCATCTTGGGCGGCCGGCTGGCTCAGCGGGTCGGGCCGGCGACCCATGTACAGGGCTACAGTCCCTGATGCAGCGCCGCGGGTCGATAAATCTACACTTTGTGCTGTCATATTCACTTTAGAAACGCCTAAACGTGGAGCTGAACATCAGAATCGACGCTTCTTCCTCACTAGTGACTGGCTGATGAGAGCAGCAGTCAAACGGGTCTGAACGGTGCAGAAACAGAAGAAAAAGACTGCAGGAACGAGAAGGAACCCAGTGAAGGAGGACGTGTAGGTGCAGATGGTGCCGCTCACCTCCTGGATGTTGGACACGTCCAGCGCGGTGTGGATCAGCCGTCTGTACATGGGATGCTTCGTGTCTTTGCCTTTCTTGTTCAGGTCCACAGCCTGCAACACACAGCGACGGTTAGCGCCTGACGCAGGAGGAGATGGACTCCTCAAGTCTGACAGAACTCCACCTGAACCCCTCAGAACCAGCTGATCCAGGCCCTTGAAGTCCATAGAGGAGGGTCCAGGTTTATCACTTTATTGGACCTTTTCCGTTTTGGTCAGAACCAGCAACAGCAGATGGAAGGTCTCATGTTTTTCCTCCATCCTGATAAGAGGCCCATCTTGGCGCTACGACTCCTTCTCTCTGGTTTACGGTCTCTCTGTACGAGTGTCAACACACTGTGGACGCTTTGAATGGATCAGGACCAGTGCTGAGTCATGCAGGAGAAGTTCTGCTATGCCTTTCCACGAGTTCTGAACTGTTCTGGACAGATTCTGAGTCATTTTGGGTTCATTTTTTAGAGAAGTTCTAAGACACTTTGAACACGTGGACAGTGTTCGAGTCGTTCTGGAGAGGTTTTGGTCATTTGGGTCAGATTTCAGAACTTCATCGGTACCGCAGATAGACACATGACATGTAGGAGGAAGAACACATCTGAGTTCTGGTAGAACCTGACACCAGATCATTTCTACATCCATCCAGGTGTCTCAGTCTGAACACTGGACCTGGTTCTGGTTCTGGTAGTGTCAGTATTATGGGATGTCTCATAGTGTACAGAACCGATGGAAAAAGTCCATTAAAGTGATCAATCTGGACCCTCCTCTGTGGACTTGAAGGACCTGGAGCTCTGGAACATTCACAGTCTGAAGGTAGAACTCTGGTCAGTAGATAAAGGTGCTGCAGGATCAGAACCAGATGTTCTGAGGAGGGTCTTTTACATGTAGCTGATCTAAACTGGACCCTGGTGTGAGACTGAGGGGAGAACTGGTCTGGGGTTCAGGTTGAACAAACGGTTCTCACCCTCTCCTTCATGCGCTGGACGATGAAGCGCAGGTATTTACTCATCTCCTGCTTGTTCAGGTTCTTCTTTTTACTTCCCTGAAAGAAACAGAAAGTTCTGGTGAGACGCTGAGACCACGACGCTCCACAGACGTGCTGTTGCTCCGGACCGGTCCAGTAATCCGTCTCAGTGTGTGTGTCTCTGCTGCTGTTTCCTGTCTGTCTGTGTGAGTGTACCTCTCTGGTCACTGTGGGCCCTTTTCCTTTGTGCATCTAAGAGGTGATTTGATCTGTTTGTGCTGAACTAGCATCTGTCTGTGTTCCTTCTGCGTGTCTCTGTTGTTCATTTGCGTCTCTTTCTGGTCTGTTCGATTCTCTTTGTCGCCGTTTCCTGTCTCTCTGTGTGTGTTCTGAGTCGGTCTGTGTGTCTTTGCTGCTGTTTAATCTCTTCCTGGTCATCTGAACCTCTTTTCTCTTGGCTTGTGTCTCTTTGCAGCCATTCTGCACCCAGCTTAGTGTGTCTCAGAGCTGATTTTATCCGTTTGCACTGAACTAGCATCTGTCTGTGTTCAGTTTCATGTCCTCCAGTCGGGTTTTGTCTCTCTGTTTTTGTCTCTGTGGTGTGTGTTCTGAGTCGTGTGTGTGACTCCCAGCTGACTAGTTCAATCTGGGGGTGTTCTCAGATGAGCCCAGCTGATGCAGAACGTCCTCCAGAACGTCCTCCAGGCTTTGATGAGAGCGTTTGGGCCGTGGCTGTCCTCGCCGGTCACCTAAAACCTGACATGAGAGACAGCCGGAGCCCCCCAGGCCCGAGCCGGACCACCTACCCTGCAGGCGACACACTGCCAGTGGGAGCCTCCGTCCCGGGGCTTGCACTCCTCCGACAGACACTTGAGGTGATAAACCCGGAAGCAGTTGTCGCAGGTGAGGACGTCTCCCGGCAGGTGACACTCGAAGCAATACCAGTCGTGGCTCTCGGCCTCCCAGTCCTGCAGCCGAGACACAGCACAGACAAGTCTGGGTGACCCCCCCCTCCAACCCGCCACCACAGCAGGGGAGGAACAATCAGAACCTCCGTCCTCCACCACGGCTCTGAGGCCCGTGGAGCCGCCGGGTCCAGCTCGCCCTGACACTCTACTCGCTGCTGTGGTCTCTGATTCTAGGATATTTTATTTCTGAACGTTTTGCTCACAGAAAACACACAAAGATCAAAACCAGAAATAAAACACAACAAATTCAATTTATCTTCTTTTTGTGCTGCAATCCAACAGATATGTATCCCACATAACCCAACTACAGCTGACAAAACCTCACCAGAACCTCCTCAGAACACCTGGTTCTGTACTGGCTCTGGTTTCATCTAAATGAGCGGTGATATTTCTCTCTTCTTCTTCGACCTCAGAACGTTTCATTTAACTGAGAGTCTGCAGAGGAGCAGCTCAACACACATCTAATTAAACTCCTGGAGATCTAGAGCTTCAGCAGTGGAGTGATGGTGGAGAAGCTCCTCCAGAGAGATGACAGCTGAGGTCCAGGTCAGAGACTCCAAATGAAGCTCTGAACTCCTCCAGGCCGCTACAACCGAAGGCTCAGCTGCACGTTAGCATTGACGCTTTAGTTCCCTATCGCTGTGCTGTAATGCACGTTCCTACAAGCAGCTCTGAGGCTTCCTGGACCTGAGGATCTAACATCACAACGGTTTTGTTTAAAATCCGCTGCACATATATTTTCAAGGACCATAAAGTTATTTTATCTTAAAGCAGGTTCAGAACAAACTGCTGCGCTCCAAACAGGTTTGTCCTGTTCAGGCTCCTGTACAGACGCTTCTATCTGGACAGCATTCGTCATCCGACTCAGTTTATAAAAGAATTTAAAGAAGAACCACAACAGCAGAGGTGATGGAAACCAGCTACCAGGTAGAAGACTGGAATACGCAGCACAAAAATAGCATCAGAACAATAACCTGCATGGAATGAGGGACGTGTGATAGATGAACATATTCAGGTGAATTATCTTCACAGCTAACAGAGAACCGCTCATCCACAGACACTGCATTAAAAACACATTAAACATGCTGTAACTGAACAAACTGCACATTAATACATAATCAATTACATATAAATTAAAATAATCAATATCAGAGATGAGGCCTGGATAGAGTCTATCGATCAGTTAGTATTTTAACTTTATTTTTCATTTCAGTTTGATTTATGGTGTATATTCATCAGCTTAAGACAAAAGTATTAAACCAGTTAAATAAAGTGTTTAAAATTCTAAACACGAAATTCATCTTTTTCTGCCCCTGGTTATAGTATAAAGCAGGTTATGGTATTAGCCGTCATATTATTGTTCATCAACGGGTTAAAGTGGTTCAATTCTAAATAAACCTCATTTCTCTTTTTAAAACTGGCAGTGATTACTGATTATGTCACTGACTTTTGGGCTCTGAGAGGGATCCAGGGTGAATGTTGTGCTCGCTAAGCTAACGGTTAGCACCAGCTGACAGCAGGCTGCTAAGCTAACGGTCAGGTTGAATGTTGTGCTCTCTAAGCTAACGGTTAGCACCAGCTGA